AGGAAACTAAGATTTGTACAAAGTTAAACAATACAGATACCTAGCCAATTTATGACTTTCAAAAGATATGTAAAGATAGCTAAATTTAAAAATAGTTTCTTTCAGCTGGTGAGTGGATAAACAAACAGATACATTTGAATAATTAACTATTACTGTACCATAAAAAGGAATGAATTACTGGCATGCACAGTGATGTGGATGGATCTCAGAAGTGCTTCTAGGTGCTATGTACTCTGTGATTCCATTTATTTTGATAACAAAAGCTAATATGTGGCCTTGGAAAGTAGGGAGAATAGTTTTTGTAGATAAGAGGATTAAGAAACTGCTAGTCCAAGGTATTGTAAAGATGTGAAGTCATGTGGGATAATGTAAAGAATTTCTGTCCCTTTCTACTTTGGGTAGAAAGGAAGTCTGTGAGCTATGTACTGACTGATTTGTTGAATGAGGAGTGACTGGAGGTTGATAGGTGACAACAGTGATGAGGAAATGGTGGCATAGCTGAATAGCAGAGCCTTTAAAGAACATGAAGAAAAGTGGGCGTAGTGGCTCTAAAAACTTTGTCCCACTCTCCATGGTGATCAGTTCCAGCAGATATTGTCTCAGTTCATCTGCTTCAAACTTAGCACACACAGGGATTACAGTCCCTAAAACTGTAGTCACTACATGCTTTCTGGCCTGGCATAGAGTAGATGGACATTTAAGTTTTTAATGAATGAACTGAAGCAATCTATTTGGTATCAGAGAAGGCTTACTTCTTACAATCTTAACTTGCACATTGATTAGTTTAGTTTAGGATTCGGATGTTTTGTGTATATTCTCTGGCATGCTACGTTGAATTTAGGAATGCTTTAACTATTTCTAAGATTTACACTGAAAATTAGTCCTGTTGAGTCCATAATAAAGATAAGTACAATGCTAGCATGTGTGCTTCTGTTTCCTCATTATGCTATTGGTACAAATTTCCTTCTTCCTGAGCCTAGACAAGGGAGGGAGGTTTCACTTTTCTTCAGACACCTACTGCCAGTTGGGTGACAAATAAGGTGAACTCAACCCTCCCCCTTCCCACCTTTTCTTTTCTGTCCTAGACCTGAGGTCATTCACAGACCAGCTTTCTGTAATATTTAGGTTTCAGAGACAAGCTCAACTTAAGCACATCTCAGCCACAAAGGGACATTTATGAAAAGAGCCAAATACCTGAAATATGGTGGGCCTATAAATAAATGTGCCCCTGTTGACGTCTTTTAAGATGACAGCCTTTTCTCATGAAAGTCACAAACATGGAAACCTAAGACATTCTTTTGAAGAGATGTAGTTAGAGAGTGGTGGGAATTGGCAACTCAAGGTAGAGAATCGATTGGAAGTGGCAGCAAACAGCCCACCGTAAAGTGGAGAACAGAGGAAGCAATATAAACATAATAAAACAGCTTTTCTAAGAGTCCACACAGCCCTATGGATCCTTGTTACCTCAAAGGTATAAGGCTGCATATTAGGGATGAGTGACATATGCCATGATAAAAGACCATTAACCTTAGGTAGGTTATTCCGTAACTAGCTTTCTCTGGAAAGTGTGCTTAGCATTTTGGAACATTTCTATATTGCTGCCTCAAAGTGTAATCTCACTAATTGAACCAGAGTGTCATTTGAGATAACCTGTTTTTGAGAAAGTTGTTTTGGTAATGTTTAAAATGAAGAGTTATAAAGGGGGAACATTTGTAAGACTCTCAACAATAAAGATTTAAAAATAAATAAAATGAAAAGTTATCATTACCTGTAGTTTGTGAAATAAATGCAACCCTTTCTAAAGTAACTGAACATAAATTTACAAAAATGTGAGGAGTGTTTCCCCTTCACAGCATGAGAAATTTTAGTAACAATAGTATACTTCACTAGTAGAGCAAAATCTTACATAATTTTTTAATGGGGCCTTCAAGCTGGAGAACACTAATATTGACAATGGTGGAGGTGTAGGGTAGATGATTTTCCACAAGGAAAGGAAACCACTTAGGAAAATTTTCTTTGATCCTTTGATAAACTAATTTTGTAAAAAGACTGGTATACTGGTTACCTCACCAGAAGTTGTGTTGCTGCATGTTTTTTTGGGTTTTTTAACCTTTATCAGAAACTTGCAAATTATTCTAAAGGAAGACTTTTTAAAGTCCTAGAGCCAGTACTAAAATAAGTTGCCATTGAGCGCATTTAAAATCTTATGTGTATCTATACTAAATGCAATACCTACTCATAAAATTTTGTAACTAGAATGTACTTTAGGTATTATCTAGTCAAATTTTATTTCTAAAGTCATGATGCCTCAACCAATGAGCTAATAAGTACAAGAGCTGAGATGAAAATTATAAATATCAATATTCCTAATCTGTGTTTTCCCCACAATCCTGAATTCTCAAGAAAAAGTTTAAATACCATTATTATGTATTTTTTAAAGTATACGACTTACTGCAGAAAAAGTTTTATTTTTAAATACATACACACATATGCATCCTCTGCTCTAAGGAAAACTCTGCCAAGCAATTCACTTGCCAAAGATTCTAGAGTACCATAATCTTATTGTACTAGTGCATTAAAAAATAATTTTGAAAAAAATATCTTTCACCTTGGTGTGTGTACTCAGTAGTTAGAGCATCAGCCTGTGCACTGAAGGGTCTCGGGTTCAATTCCCGGTCAACGGAACATACTTGGGTTGCAGATTTGATCTCCAACCCTGGTCAGGGTGTGTGCAGGAGGCAACCATCAATGTGTCTCACTCACATAAATTTTCTCTCTCCCCCCTCCCTCCATCCCTCCCACTCTCTCTAAAAAAATTCAATGGAAAAAATATTCTCGGGTTAGGATTAACAACAGCAACAACAAAAACCATTATAAATATAAATATGTAAATATACATATATATATGTATATATATATATTTCACAAGAAGAATTTAGTTCATTATATATCTTTGCCCAAGAATGTTTGAATTACTATAATAATGGTATTGATACCATTGTAATTAACTAGTTATTAATAACAGGAAAGGAGCAAAGGGAAAGCCAGACATTATAGGCATTTCATTTGGGCAGCTTCACCAGGAAACTACAACTTTACACTCCCTAGGGATCCAACAAAGGGAAGATAGAGGTATGCCCCATAAAGTTGGGATGACAGGGAACAAACTTGCCTGTCAATCACACCTGGGGACAAAGATGGTTGGCCAGAGTGGGCATGGTCACTGCAAGTGTGCAAAAATTTGGGATACTTAATCCCCTGAACAAAGAAGTTCTCGTTCTTGGTTCCTCTTGGCATGCTTGTCTCAATGGCTCGTGCTTGGCATCTTGGCATTCTTCCGTGTGGCCCACAGCCATGCAGACCCTACATACAATGGACTAATGGGCTGCAACTAGCCTGATGCAGAACTGGACCTGGGACCAAGTTGGAAAGGAAACTCTGGACACTGTCTCTGATTTCAGCTCTACTGAAGCCCCAGCGACACTTCTATGACTGGACTGAGGGAAATGGAACTTTGGAAATCCAGGGGTATAATTCTGTGGAAATCACTCTACCATACTGCATTCTCCTCTGGGGGCCTCCAGAAATGCTTATTCTAGTGGTACTCTAAGAATTCCACTTCCACAAGCATCTGGGAGAGATGAGCCACATTCTCCTCCAATAACACTACCTTCATATAATATATGTGTTGCTTTTTTAAAAAATATACGTATTTCTTGATTTCAGAGAAAGAGAGGGAGAGAGAGAGAAACATCGATGAGAGAGTTATTGATCAGCTGCCTCCTCCACGACCCCTACTGGGGATCGAGCCTGCATCCTGGGCATGTGCCCTAACCAGTAATCAAACCACGATCTCCTGGATCATAGGTCGATGCTCAACCGCTGAGCCACGCTGACCAGGCTATAATATGTATTGCTTTATTGCATGACAATTTAAAGTTGTATTTCTCTTCCTATCATTATGGCAGACATTATTTCAAAATTTTTTTTTAATGTACTAGTATAGAATTCAGTAATGTCTTATGTTCCAGTAGAAATGGATTATTTTCTACTCACTATATTAGTATTATTTCAGTTAGGTTCTTAAATGAATAATTGACTTTTAGATTATATTTTCAAGAATAAATGGGGGTTAGCTGAGCAAAGAAGGGGGCCAGGGAAGGAGTGTTTTGAGATGATGACATGAGCAAAGACATGAAGGCAAGAGAATGTGCCTTATTCAGAAAACTGCAAATAATTCACGAATGGCTAGATTGTGAGATTAGAAGATGACCAATTCTGTGTAACTTCAAACTGCAAAATCTGGAATTGATTGGTAAAAATTACAGGGAGAGATTTGCACTTACATTCTACTACATTTTTACAGTGCTCTACCAGCATCTTTTACCCTTCTTTCCTTTTGAATTCTTCAAAATAATATTGATTATTGATAAATGCCTAGAAATATAAAATTTCCCTGCTTTGTTTAGGTTATGTCTGCATTATAATGAATGTGATGCTTTGAAACTGTACTGTTATTAAAATTTCAGCTTAAATTAGTTTAACTAATTTGGTTATATTTGATTTGTGAAAGAAAAACTAGATTTAATTGTTTAGGAGAACTATAATTCTTTTCTTAGGTTTTCTATAGAATCTATATTAATCACTAAACAAGGATAATGTATCTTTTAAAATTAATTCAATTCATTTCAGTAGTTTTGAGAAAATATGTAAAGCAATACAAGAAGTTCAAAGTATTTTCATAATAAGAAAGGAAAGCTTAATAGGGCCAGTGAGGCCACTGAGTTTTTGTATTACTTTTTTGTAGCTGTAATATATAAAATCAATTCACTTTAAAGTAACCTTTTGTTTTTAAATAATATGTTGTTGAATTTATTATATAGTCCAACTTTCACTGTGAGTGAATTTCAAACTGTTTAAAATATAATTTTTGTTTCCATATTTATAAAATAGAATTTCACTTTTAAGAGTCCTGTATTATATTTTCTTATATTTTGCAGGATGGAGGTTTGCTTCTGAATAACCCTTCAGCATTAGCAATGCATGAGTGTAAATGTCTCTGGCCAGACGTCCCATTAGAGTGCATAGTGTCCCTAGGCACTGGACGTTATGAGAGTGATGTGAGAAACACCATGACGTATACAAGCTTGAAAACCAAACTATCTAATGTTATCAACAGTGCAACAGATACAGAAGGTTGGTTGGTTGCTACTTGAGAGCACTTTAACTTCTAAAATTCATCTTTTGTTAGAATATGCTCATGCTAACTGCAAATAGTATGTTATGTCTGCATTGTACGCTTAGGAAACACATGGGAGCAAGTCTTCTGCTGTTTTTATTTCTCATTAATTTCTTCTAAGTAATGCTAGAATAGAGACTGTTCTCCATTTGGGAGTTAGTACTGCCTTTGCCTACTTACAGTTGGAGAAGTATCTAAGCCTGGGTTAGCACAATGGCTTGGTTGGAGACTCTTAAGCCACTTAAGAAACAGGGAAAAGAAAAGGAGTCAGGCTGGTTCAAATATATGCATAACAGTGATATAATAATACACATAATATTATAAAACATAATAATATACACATAAAAGCGGAAGTGATTTTTTAAAAACATAAATCTTGTCTTTTACCCTGCTCTAAACCCTCTAGGCTTCTCATCACACCTAGAACCAAATCCAGAAGTCTCATTCATTGAAATTTAGCAGGCCCTGTAAGACCCAGCTTTTGAATACATCTCTTCCTCCCCTTCCACCCCTCAAAATGTGTCCCTTTTATAAAGTGTAGCTGGCTACACTTTAATTTTTGCTGTTGCTCAAACTTGCTAAGAAGCCTCCTGCCTCATGGCCACTGCACTTGCTATATTCTGTCCCTGTAAGGCCTTTCCAAGATAGATGCTTCATTCACTCCCTTATTTCATTCAGTTTTCTGCTCAGATATCATTTTCTCAGAGACCTTTCCTGACCACGTTCCAACCCCCTCACCATCTCGCTCTTATCCTGCTTGCTTTATTGTTTTTAATCTCTTAGAGCATTTATCTCATTTGGATATATGTTACATATTTGCTTGTTTAATTGCTTATTATCTCTGTCCTACAAGAATATAAGGCAGGAATTTATCCAGTTAATTATGTTGACTTCAGTATCTAGCACATAGTAGACAGTGAGTATTTGTTGAGTTTCTAGTTTTGGCCTTGAGATCTAAGTTTCCTTATTTTATTATTTTATTTTTAAGTCCTATGTGAAATCAGTTATTAAATTTTTAAAAGACTTGTTACCACTTAGCTCCTTGCTTTTGAAGCTCACTTTTTCCATATTATCATGTTATTAGCCAAGTCATTAGCCTACATGAGGATCTTAAGCGACCCACTAAGGACTTTCATCTGTTAAATAACCCAAGAAAAGCTGATATACTGGATTTTTCACTATGTGAAATTTTGTTATCAAATCAATAAAATATTCTTACTGTAAGCTCTCAACTGAGAAAAAGATAACTTTAATCATTCAGTTCCATAATACTTATACACATATCTTGTGCAAACCCTGTGATGGGCTCATTTGAAATGTTCAAGAGACATGAAATGCTGCCTTTATGTACTTATACTTCAGTTAATGAAGAATTTATATGAATATGCAAAGGACCTAAAAAAGCCAAGAAAATTTTGAAAAAGAACAAAGTTGGACGACTTATACCCTTTGATATCAAGACTATATAACTACAGTAAGCAAGAGGCTATGTTATTTGCATAAAAATAGATGTTGATCAGTGGTACTAATAGCAAATACAGAAGCTGATCTATACATGTACACTCAAAAGATTTTTGACAAGGGTAACTCAATGAGAAAAGGATATTCTTTTCAACAAATGATAACTATATTCCAAAAATTGAACCTTAATCCTCATTTCATATATAAAAATTAACTTGAATGGATCATAGACCTAAATGTGACAGCTAAAACTGTAAAATTTCTACAAGAATGCCCTGGAGAAAAGCTTAATGGCCTTGACCTAGGTAAAGATTTTTTAGAATACAAAAAGCATGAACCAAAAAAGGAAAAATTAGACTTTATCAAGTTACAAATTTTCCTCTTTCAGAGACACTTTTAATAATGAAAAGACAAGCTACAGATGAAATAAAGTATTAGTAAAACATGTATCTGATCCATTATCAGAAATGTATAATCTCACCCATTACCAGAGATATATATAATCATATCCAAAATATAGAGAGAATTCTTACATTATATATGAAGAAAAAAACAAGAAATTCAGTAAAAAAAACAAAAAAAACAACTAGCAAAATATTTGAACAGACACTCCATGAAGAAGATATACAGATGACTAATAAGCACACAAAAGACTTCTCAACATCATTAGTCATTAGGGAGATGAAAATTAAAGCCACAAGATACCACCACACGTCCTCTAGAATGCCTAAAATTAAGACTGACTACCGATTTTTGGCAAAGATGTGAAGTAGTGGGAACTCTGGTGTATTAGTTGTTGGAATGCAAAATGGTACAGCTGTTTGGAAAACAGTGCTGCAGTTCTTAAAAAGATAAACATACTTTTACCATATGACCCAGCAATTTCATCCCCGGGTATTTACCCAAGAGAAATGGAATCATACTGCAAAAATACTTAGGTGTAAATGTTTATAAGGAGGCTTATTCCTAATTAAAAACTGAAGAGAACAGAACTAGAGAGAATAAATTATGCTATATTGTACAATGGAGTACTAGTCAGCAGTAAAAAGGAAGGAACTATTTATACATGCTACAACATAGATGAATTTCAAAAGCATTTTAAGTAGAAGAAGCTAGACATAGAAGGGCTATATCCTTATGATTCTGTTTATGTGAAATTCTAGAAAAGGCAAAGGTAAGGGGTACCAGTTATAAAGAGTCATGAAGGAACTTTTTGGGGTGATGGAAATGCCCTATGTCATGATTGTTGTAGTCGTTGCATAAGTGTATACATGTCAAAACTTGTCTTTACACTTAAAATTGGTGAATTTTATTGTGAGTAAATTATGCCTTAATAGAGATAATCCCAGAAAATTAGAAACAAAAATGGAGGTTGAAAAGGCATTTCAGCAGTGGCTAACAGTATGACCAAAAACAGAGAGAAGAAAGAGTACTGGAGCAAGTATCCTAATTTAACAGAATTATATGAAGTATTCTGGGAGGTGAATTTCATAGTTGTTATTATTGATTCCTTTTCTACTGTTAATTAGCTGGAATGATGAAATAAGCAATGCTTTGTAATTTTCCCTAAAAGAAGACAATGTTTTAAAAAGATAACATTGCATCACCGTAGAGTTACTGTTTTCTTATCTACCCTATTCTCTGTTTGTTTTAACAGAAGTCCATATAATGCTTGATGGTCTGTTACCTCCTGACACCTATTTTCGATTCAATCCTGTAATGTGTGAAAACATACCTCTAGATGAAAGTCGAAATGAAAAGCTGGATCAACTGCAGTTGGAAGGGTTGAAATACATAGAAAGAAATGAAGAAAAAATGAAAAAACTTGCAAAAATATTAAGTCAAGAAAAAACAACTCTGCAGAAAATTAATGATTGGATAAAACTAAAAACTGACATGTATGAAGGCTTTTCATTCTTTTCAAAATTGTGATGAGTGTGTATATTCTCATAAATGGAGGTCTGTTCAGAAGATCCACCAAATTCAGTGAGGAATCAGAGGGCTCAACACGAGTTAACTTTGAAATACTTATGAATCCTGGGGAATCCTGAAAAAGATGGTGCTTGGACCAGCTTGCACAGCACAGGATATACTTGGTTACAGAACTTATAAGAGAATTAGGTTTTCATGATGTTAATAATTAGCTATGCTTTAGGAATCTTATTAATTATTGTTCTAGTTGGTTGTAGTAGATATTGGTGTTATATTGTTTGATGTTTGAAAATTTATTAATATATGTGCCAAACAAGAACTGAAAAAATATCATATACTTGATATTTTTGCTTTAGTCACCATAATCATGTTGAATTTATTTGATTATTGATTTTCTTCCATGTGGAAAATCTAATTTCTTTTTAAATTTACATCGCATGTGTTCACGAACTATACTCTGCAATCCAAATGTTGCCTTTTACTGTATATCATTTAAACACATACAGAAAAGTGGAATTTTCTCTGTCAGAGGACTCTTATGTTGGAAATAAGAAAGAACCAGATACAGTTTTCTATTTAAACGTGTTTATTTCAACATTGTTTGATTTAAAATCATAGATGAGGTTCAGTCAATCACTTTCTACCCTTTAAATTTCAGGATAATGCTGTGTATTACCTTTTCTAGCTCTAGCTTATTATTCATAAAATTAATTACTTGAATTTACTAAGAAAATATCACTATCATTAACAAAAATAAACTTTTAAATAATTTATTGTTAAAAGACTAATGTCATTTTAAGATTATTTATTGTTCATAATGTAGCTCTCTATCTCTTTGTAGCATTTGAATATACCTGTGTCAAGAGTGTGCTTAAAAAAATAAGTTAGGCTTGTTTTACCATATTAACTTCTTTAACTTTCAGGGTTTCACAGAGGTTAATAACATAAACCAACTCAAATAATTGTTTATGCCATCCAAATTCATCTTTGTTGTATTATCTGTTTTGTTAATCCTTACATCATGTTTAGATTTGTCAAGAAAATGAAAAAAGGTAAGTGTCTTTTGCTTTGTACATATAAACTAAAGCTAAAACCCCTATTGCCCATATTGTCATATTGCTTCTTTGCAATGCTGATTCATAGAGTATGGTATGGTTCAGTGAGTGCCAAGGGGAGGCGAGAGTCTGAATGCTAATCCTGGCTCTGAGGCTGTGATACGGAGTCCTATTTGTGACCTGGAGGAGCTAGCAGACAACCTGTCTGGGTTTCAGATATTTCATTTGTAAAGTGAAGAAAGCTAGCTCTAAAGTTTTATTTACTTTTTTTATGGTAACCTAAAAAGTAAATTGTGCAAAGGAACAAGCAAAAGATAAGAGATGTGAAAATGAATTTTCAGTCCTACACAAGTAAAATATCTGTTCTTTTTAAAGAAGCAGAGTCTATCTTAGAAATAAAATGTAATAAATTCTCCAACTCATCAATTATATAAAAATATAGAGAATGAAGATTGTTATCTCTGTAATAAATGGCATGCTGGTGATATTTCAGTTCTGTTCTTGCTGCAGATATTATTCTTTATTAAAAATAGTACCTCAGATAGAGTTGTCCCTGGAGGCATATGGGCTGGCTGGGATTTCCCCTTGGGATGGAGAGAGCCCAGCCTGGGTTATAATTTCCCTATGCGCTTCCTCCTTTCCCAAACCGAATTTTATTCAGGAGAAAGTGGATATCAAAGGAATCTTCTGAGTGGGGAAGGAAGCCACAAAAAGTCAGTCTGCAGTCTGAGGGGATAGAGGAGGATCTTCCAACTTTGTTTTGGTAGTACGATGAGGGACTCCCTTTTAGCTCCCCCTCACTCAGCAGCTGCTGACAGCTGTGCCTCCTTTTCACTTATAGAACTGCTAATTGCTGAAGTAGCTAGGACCCCTAGAGTTCAAAGCTCAAAATTTTACCTAACTTGCTATACTCTAGAAATAACTCTATTCACAGTTTTAAATGTTTCTTAAGTATTAGTGCTAGTAATGTGATGAAAAACATTGATTTTTAACATCCAAATTGTAGTTTTGAGATGCAGTATAAAGATGAAGGTACCAATGATTTCTAAAGATAATGTAAAATAATCCTTTCAGACAACAAATATTACATATTTGTATGCAGCTAGAAAAACTTGTAAACGTAAGAAAAATACAAATCATTGGAAGTTAAAATATTTCTGGGTATTCTTTGTAATAAGCCAAATTTCATGCACAATAAAGTGATATTTAGTGCATTTTGCGTATGTGCACCTATCATGAAGTTAACGTTCTGTCCCTTGTTTCTGCTTGGCTGATTATTTCTCTCTTGAATAGCAATAACAGTATACAAGGTGGGGCAAAAGTAGGTTTACAGTTGTGAGTATGCAAAACACAGTTTATACTTGTATTACTATTTATTAATTTTTGCATTATTCTCCATACAAACAATTGTAAACCTGCTTTTGCCCTGAATGTACTCTGGCCATAGCTGCTTTCTTAAACTACATACCACAGCACCTAAATATGTTCCCATACCCCTTGTTTTTTAGCTCTTTTCACTCTAATAAAAGGTACGCGCAGTTGTGTGGTGTACCAATTTTTAGTCATTGTTGTTCCCATTTGTATTTGAAACTGGTTATCTGAAGAACTGTGTAATTCACCTGAGGTAATAATGAAGCCAGTGCTTTGCTTTGCCCCAAAATAGAATGGATTTCTTTTCAGGAAAGAACAGAACTAAAAAACACTCTTGGAAAGATGAGCTCTCACTACCTAGTAGGTTATGGATTCTCCATATGGACTGTTTTTAAAGTAGAATTAAGTTTTTTATGACAAAAATTTTAAGATAGATAAATGCCCTTAGGTTCCCTCCAACCATATAATTCTGTGATAATTTACTACAATGATCAGATAAGCTAAAAGAAATGTTTGTTGGTCAAAGACAAAATTAGAATATTGTATTTCTTGTTCTATATGATAAGATTTAACTGGTATTTTTAAGTCTATGCTTCTTGATAAACTTATGTATCTAAATTAGTTTTCATTCATGGCAATGGATATATCTCATTTTGTTATTTTGATTTTTTAAATATATAGCAATGCGTGCCTTGAACATGGATATATTTTGAAAACTCTGATTGAAAAAACAAAATTTATCCACTGCTGATAGTTGCATTACAACTAACTTTTAGTAAAGTTGATTAAATTGTGGTTCCATTTTTACATTAAGGAAAATTTCATAGCTATGGAAATAGAAGAACATAAATGTGTTTTGTTAAGTATTTTCACTTCTGTAGAGGAAACCCGAATAATTTTATGATGGTTAATAGCCAATACCTAGCACCTATATCCCAAGCACTATACTGAAAGCTCTATGTCTGTGATCTCATTAGGTCTCACAATACATCTGTGAAGGAGGTATTGTAATTCCTTTTCCTAACTAAGGACTCCAAGGCTGTAGAAATAAATAATAATTTTCAGTATTTGCCCATGATGATGGATAATGCTGCTATGAAATTCATGTACAAACCTTTGTGAGGATATATGATTTCATTTCTCTTGAACAGCTATCTGGAAGTGGAATTGCTGCAGTCCTATGGTAAGTGTATATTTAAAAGATAAATGTAGATTTAACTTATATTTAAGTGTCTGTATCTTTTTACGTTCCTATCAGCAGTGTATAAGAATTCCAGTGTCTCCACACCTTCAACAGCCCTGGATATTGTTTGTCTTTAATTATAGCCATCCTCCAGGATATGTAATGGTATCTCATTGTAGTTTTAATTTGCACTCCCCTAATGATTATTGATGTTGAGCATCTTTTTAGGTGCTTATTAACTATTTGTACATCTACTTTCATGAAATGTCCATTTAAATATTTTGTCCATTTTTAAATTAGTTTGTCTTCTTGAGTTGTGAGAGTTCTTTATATACAGTGGTACCTTGGTTTTCGAATATAATCTGTTCCTGAAGACTGTTCAAGTTCTGAAACGTCTGAAAAATGAGGGATCAACAGCCGACAGCTAGGCCTTAGGATCTTGCACCCAGGGTTGTGAGGATTTATTTATTATTATTTAATTAATCCAAAATGGTATCAGTGACATCGAACACTCATCTTGACAAAAATCTATCTAGACATTTTAAAAATTAAATAAGCCTCAATCATATTGCATTTTAATCAGAAATACCTTCTATATCACATAGAACTTTTGTGCACTTACATAGCAGCATGCAGTGATGAGCAAAAGTATATCAAATTGTTCAGCATATTTGGTTTTTATTTCTGCCTTTAAATTTTTCTATTTCAAAATATGATGCATTTCCAAAGAGAATCACCAAAGGGCCAAAGTGCAGAAGTTCCTTCAACAAGCACATAGCCTTTGCCTCACCCATGTAGGCCTCCCTTATTGTAAGCTTGAAGCACAGTGGTGTATTGTATTTTTGAAGATCACCAGAATGCAAAGGTCCCTCTACTCCTGGGCTTGGGAGTATGAATATTAGCAACCTCATCTCCAAGTTTCAGTGCAAGGCCAACCATTACCCAGGAGCTCACCAGGTACCACTATCTGGCCTAGGGCATGGCAGTAGAGAAGGGAAGAAAAGAAAACTGAGAAAATAGACCAAGATTTTAATTTAAAATATTTTATTGGAAAGATAACTCAAACTTTAGACAAATGATTTTAAAATTCCCCATAATTCTGTCATCTTAATAGAACTATTTTCATTTTATTATCTTTCTCTCGTATGCATTTTGAATTGCAGTAGTAGTGCACATACCATTTTGTGCTCCGCTGTTTTTCACCTAAAGTGTAGTTTATAAATATTCTTATTTCTCGGTCTTCTTAATAATAGCTGTGTTACCACCAGACACTGGTAAACTAGAAATATAAAGTTCCTCTAATTTTAGCAAGTAGAATCAAGCAGGAAATGAAGTGACTTAATTTTTGCCACCTCTTCCTGTCTCAAAGCAATCTTGATAAATGAAAGCCCAAATAAAACAACAAAAGACAACAAGAAAAGCAACACTCCTGGACAATCAACCAACTGAATTATCATTAAGGGGCAGAAACATTTATTTTTAAATGTAGGTTTTGGATAAAAACCTAGCAAATTTTCCAAGCTAGGGAATAATAGGAAGGCACTTATTTTATTATTTATTTTTTTACCTATAGAATATTAGTCTGTTTCAAGAAAAAAAATTATTTTTGAAGTTGAGTTTTTATCATTGACTTTCTTTTTTGTTATTTTTTTAAAAATTATGTATTGGTTTTGGGTATACACCAAGAAAATTTTATTATATCAACAATCCTACTCTCTTCTGCCTGTTTCCCCCCAAAAGAATTAAGGTCAGGTCCACTCAAGTATAAACTATTGCTAAACCAAAATTACTTCAATCCAGAAGTAACATTATTCTAACAATATGGTTTCATACATCAGTATATCCATTACATTAAGAAATAGAGTCATTTATGATCTTTCCTAACAAATCAGGGGCTTGAGGAAGGAAAACAGTTGGAGCTCCACATACCATGTGTCTAGATATTTAAAAGTTATATGTTCAGTCTTTCTGTCTTCATAAAGATCTTGATGTCCACATTTGAATTTATAATTCTTGGAATTCAGTGCCAGAATTTGGTAGTGTAGGAAGAGCAGCCCTAGACCCTGCTCATGGCCACGGCTTGCTTAGTCTTGAACCTTCAAGGGCCTCAAGCATACTTAGGCGAACACCCCAACCTACATATCCAAGTTCTTTCCACACCCTGGTATCAGTCACATATCAGAACTCCAATTTTTGTTGTTTTTCCAGCTTTATTAAGATATATTTGGCATATAATATTGTATAAGTTTAAGGTGCACAATGGGATGACTTGATATATGAATATATTGCAAAATGATTAACACAAGATTAACACATCCATCACCTCAGTCACTTTTTTTCCATTGAGAAATAATTAACATATAACATTATATTAATTTCAGGTGTACAACTTAGTGATTTGATATTTGTATACATTGTGAAATGATCATTGCAATAAGTCTAGTTTACATTCATCACCACACACAGTTAAAATTTTTTTCCCGTGATGAGAACTTTTTTTCCTTCTTCTTAAATAAGTCCCTTTAATACTTCTTGTAATACTGGTTTAGTAGTGATAAACTCCTTTAGCTTTTTCTTGCCTGGGAAGCTCTTTATCTCTCCTTTGATTCTAATTTATAGCCTTGCTAGGTAGGTCTTTGCTTTCCATCACTTTAAATATTTCATGCCGATCTTTCCTGGCCTAGAAGATTTTTATTTTTGTTGAGAAATCAGATTACTGTCTTATGGGAGCTCCCCTGTATGTAACTAACTGCTTTTTTCTTGTCACTTTTAAATTCTCTCTTTGTCTTTAACCTTTGGCATTTTAATTATGATGTGTCTTGGTGTGGGCCCCTTTGGGTTCATCTTGTTTGGAACTCTCTAAGCTTCCTTGACTTGTATGTCTATTTCCTTCACCAGGTTAGGTAAGTCTGCAGTCATTATTTCTTTAAATAGATATTCTACCCCTTGCTCTCTTCTCCTCCTGCTGCCTCCATGATGCTAATGTTGGTGCACTTGATATTGTCCTAGAGGTTCCTTAAACTATCCTCATTTTTAAAATTCTTTTTTGTTTTTCTGATTGGGTGTTTTCTGCTATCTTGTATTCCAAATCATTGATTTGATCCTCTGTTTCATCTAATCTGCTATCAATTCCCTCTAATGTATTCTTCATTTAGTTATCATATTCTTCATTTCTGAATGGTTCTTTTCTATGATTTCTATCTTTGTGTAAGTTCTCACTGAGTTCATCTATTCCTCTAAGTTCATTGAGCATCCTTGTAAACAGTGTTTTGAATGCTGTATATGGTAGATGGCTTGCCTCCATTTCATTTAGTTCTTTTTCTGGAGTTTGGTTCTTTTCTTTCATTTGAGACACTGTTTGTCTCCTCAGTTTGGCTGCCTCTTTATGCCTGTCTCTATGTATAAGGTAGAGCTATTACGTCTCCCAGTCTTGGCCAAGTGGCCTTACGTAGTTGGTGTCCTGTGGGGCCCAGTGGTATACTCTCCCTGGTCATCTGGATGTGGGTTGTGCGTGCCCTCCCTTTGTAGCTGAATCTTGATTGTTGGCACGTCAGTGGGTAGAATTGGCCCTCAGGCTGACTGGCTGTGAGGACCAGCTGTGGCTACAGCAGATGAGTTGGTTTCACTTTAGTGGGGCTCTGGTGCCTGCTGAGTCCACCC